AATAGATAGAAAGAGAAAGGAAATTAAGTATTGACAGGAGGGAAGGCCTGAACATATAACCATGTTTTCAGCTGGTTCTTAAATGTGCCCAGCGTAGGGGCTGCATGAATCGCTGGAGGAAGGTTGTTCCAGAGGTGAGGAGCCACCACCGAGAAGGCCCGATTTCGTGTTCGCTCCTTCCGGGCCTCCCTCGGCGTTAGGCTCCCCAGCGTCACCTCCTGGCTCATGCGAGTGATCCGGGTAGATCTAGGTGTTATCAGATAACAAAGTTAGACCAAAGTTACATCCACAGGATCTTCCACAACTACAATATCCAAGTCAGAGCAGATATGAGCAACTCCACCTCTGGGGTGTAATATAATGAGCTGTTGCATGGTTTGCACTTTCTTCTTGTGCTCTTCATCACTAAGGACAGCTCCACTGGACAGCTCTGAGTATATGCAATGGTGGGAGAAATGAATGATCTCCTTGCTTTTATTTTTGTTGCTGCTGCTATAGATAAAGAGTAAACTTTCCAATGGGCTCTCGCATATGTTTGGTTGGACCCACCTCCAAGTTTTTTTATCATCACTGCTCGACTCAACATTTTGCTCACTTTATCACTGCCACCATCAATGACTGGGAAATGACTGGGAAAGTGCAAGTGGCTGGGGGAAAAACATGCCAAATCTAACAAACACAGCACAAGGGAAATTTACAGAGTTAGGTCATTAGAGGGAGGGATATAGCCTGCTTCCCATTTCATGGCAGGAAGATATATTTAGTAGCCAGAATCCTATTGGTGTTTGCATAATGTTTGTGTAACATGCTGAAACTAAGTATGGTTAAGCGTGTGGTTCTGTTGTGCACTTCATCAGACACTGGCTGCACAACTGAGATGCAACAAGGCACCTTGCCAAGTTAGCTATGGCAAGTTATGCAATCTTACGCAAACATCAAAAGGACTCTGGCCAGGATTTATTTACACTGTATGCTTGTGTGTGTGAGAATAAGCCACGTTACTTTATTTTATTCACCTGATTGTTTTATTTACCCTGTTTGTATTTAAAATAAACCTTATTCTTTTATTGTTTAAAAATCCATCCCTGGTCTGTGTGACTTATTATAGGGAATGGTTGGTGGCAGCTTAGTGTAACTGTGTGACATATCCCAGTAGGTCTGGGTTTGTCACAGTTATATTGTCCTGAACACTGGGAATATAGTACCTTTACAGGATAATTTAGAAGGAAATATGTCATACCGAAGCAGGTTCACTGCATAAATGGAGCGCAGTCTGGAGTCAATATCTGATAAAACCTTCTAAGCAATGAAGTAACTAACTTAAGGACAGATTTCTTACTCTAAAACTTTTAAGACAAGAAACAGTACTGTTTTGGGGAGGGGGATTAATTAGGGATGTAAATCCTCACTTTTTACATTCTTGTACATAAGAAAAAGAGTCCACACTGTTTCCTCCTTACTTATGAGATTGCCAGTTATCTCAGAGTCATTGCATTTGTCAGAATGATTCTTGCACACATTATCTAATGTTGAAACCATTTCTTCAAAAAGGTTAAGGAGGCAACATAATAAACATATATGGTTAGAATTAATTACCCACAGGTAATGGCGCTCTCAGAGTACTTTTCAGCAGCAACTGGACAGTCCACATGACCTCTCAAAGGTTACCTTTTGGGGGGAATGAGGGAAATGTTTCCCTCGGGATGAGGGCCAAAGGCTGCACACCCACCAAATCCAACGGGCTTCTGGGAAAAGTGAAGAAAAAGACTGTCTGGTTCTCCTAACCTGTCCTACTTCCAGCTGAGTCCTCTTGCCCGTACTCTGCTTCCGGCCACTACAGTTACTCAACAGCATAAAGGTAGCAGGCACGTGCCAACTTCATGTTCTGATAGTACAGGAGGGCCATTTTAGGAAATGTTCTCTAATCTGCCCCGACTCCCCTACCTCTGTGTTGTCTACACCTAATGCTCCTCTTTACAAGTGGAAAAGAAGAAGAAAAATGAAAAATATGTATTATTAACCTTTGGGTCTTCAAAACATCCTGCCAAAGAGATGCCGCAGGCCTTCAGCAGAGTCTTGTAGTGTTGAATGAAGTCATACACAGCAAGTGAAAATGCTCTCTTGCAATCCTGCAGGCAGGCTTGAAGGTGCTGCAACCTCTCTGCTACAGTCAAGTTCTGATCCAAAGGAGGGGGTGCCAAACTGGCACTGATTTCTAATTCACAAGGGGCGGTGGAGGGGGGGGAGAGCAGGGAGGGAGGAGAAGAGATAATGTGAGTGAAGCTATATGTATCTCTACGGTTTCCTTATAGAGAGAAGGCAGAAATTCAACCTTGCCTCTCACTTTTCAGACTCACAGTGTATGAGAAACCTATCTCCCCTATTAACTCTACACATGTTTCCCAAGAATAGCATAGCAAGCTATATAAATACAAGCTCCAAGGCTCACTCTTTCCAAAAATTTCTCTACCTCATTCTCCTAAGTTCTTCCTTTCTGCTTTTTGATTCTTTCCTTGTACTCTCCTACTAGTTCCTTTGGTTTTGAATTCCCAGACCTCCACTGGTATCACACCCTACAACTGTTCCCCAAATTCCTTTTAACCACTTCTTGCTTGGGTCCTAGTGAACATACTTTCCATTAAAGCAACCTTTTTAAATAGCATCATCACAAAAATTACACCATTCTATTTCTGCTCATTGCCCACGTGATATTTTCACTTTTACCAATAAAGCCACTATTTTTAATTTATTTAATATGGATTTAGTACTGCAGTTAGTTGCTATATAAACAGGTTTCTCCGATGTCTAAAACCTTACCAATCTGCTCTTCAACTTTTTGCTGCAGTGAGAGATAATAAGCATCTTTTCCACCCCAACACACAGCTAGTCCTACTACTAAGATCTCTTCACAGGCACTGATACGGAATCCATCATCTTTGTGCGGAATATTTTTCAAAGTGCTGCTTCCTACAAAACAGACATGTAAAGATTAAAATCCATTTGGCCCCTTGAAATGACAACGACTTAAGCAATTTATGCAGAAAGCAAACTTTCCACTTCATTTTGTTTAATCACCTTCAGAGATAAACAAAGAGGGAGATTCTTACTGTTAATTTGTTTTGCAGGACTCCCAGAAGGATGATCATGATCTTGACTGATGAGGCTTGCCTTTAATGCATTTGTGTTCAGCCCTTGGGGGACATTTAGCCCTGCAGGAATTCCAGGAGCTACTGGACTGACGCTTCCCCCGACAGGTGCTTGCCTATATTGCACCAGAAAATGATGAGCCTAAAAGTGTTGGGACTTACTTTATCGGCTCAAGGATGGGCAAACAAATAAAGTGGTTCAGATGCTAGGTGATGGGCTGTTGAATGATGTCAAAAGGTATGGCCACAAACTGACATCAATGTTTCCCAACCTGACCTCCCACAAGCTGCATGATATCAGGAGAAATGGCAACATAGGAAGGAAAGGGAAAAAGAAGATACAGAGGGCAGACTTTTAAAGAGGAAGGAACTTTATGTCCAACATAAAGATTACTTTATGTTTTGTTTCAAAATTATGATTAATCTGTAGAATACTTTTTTAAAAACGACATTGTCATATGAACGTCAATCAAGACTAAAGAAATGTGATATTTCATTCCATTGCTTTTTCAAGTTCTCTAAACTAACCAACAGAGAGGGAATATAGGAAGCAGACCTACTTCTTTTGAAGTTGGCACCAATAGTTGACCTGTGGGCCAGGGAGTCTTTGGTTTTTTCACAAGCCACAGAAATAGCAAATCGGTCTTTTGTTTTCCATTCTTTAATGAACGTATGGAAGAGAGCCTTGTCATTTGCCACATCAATTATGGTGAAATTTTCAGCACTGCAGGATGGTACTAAATCTTCATCTTGAGATAACTGCAGTGAAAATCCTTCCATTATTATTGAGTTATCCTCTTCAAGTGGAATCTCAGCTTGTTCTCCATTTTCTGCATTTTGGCACAAGATTTCTGCCTTCAGGTGAGGTGCAGCTCTATCATCCTGTAGGAATGGAAGATCTGGGACCTTGTCTATGGGTTTTAGGTCACTTGTTTGCATCACAAAGGGTAGCTCCAAACATGGTGAAGAAGGCTCCATGAGGTTGCGTGAGGAAGGCATTTTGTTCCCATCTGCCAACGAGGTAGATCTTCCATTTCTGTCAATCAGCATAGCTGCACCATCCAGTCCTCTAGTTAAGCAGCTACTTTCAAAATCTTTGCAGAACAGTGGCTCACAAGTGTTGCCCGAGAACAATGTGCCAGGATCATTCTTAAGCAATGCTTCTCTCAAGTTTTTTCCTGAATCCAATTTAGGTTTATCTCCAGAGGGACTTGGCCACCCATCTAAAATCTCTTTCATGCCTGGACTTAAATCAGATAAAGAGCTACACTTTCCTGGTTGGTCAGTATGTTTTTCTATATAATTTTTTGGAAGATCTCCATCTGCACCCTTTTCCATATAGCCAGGTTTGGCATTCAGACTTTCCAAGTTGCTAACATCTGTGTGAAAAGAAGGCTCAGCCACATTATGTAATCCTTCCGGTGCAGGGAAAGAATCCATATCTGACAATATCATAGAATCCTCATTACATCCTCCTGATCTCTCCTGGTTAATGGTGGCACTCGATACAGTTTTACTTGACTCTTCATTCTGTCTACCAGAAACATCAGATGCTGAAGTCCTCCAGAAAGGAGGGGAAATAACCTGCTGCTGTGGAGGTGCCTCTAGGAAAATAGATTCACCAGTGGGCACAAACTGGGGATCACTGATATGGCTAAAGGATTCATCAAACAGCAAACTGTCACTGCTGTTCAGATTTGATACATTTCCATCCCTGGTGGGCGCATGGTCATTGGGCAAAAGGGAACACCCATTGGGAGGAATAGGAGGTACCTGTTCTTCCACTGACTCTGGGGTCTGATAGTGTTGCAAGAAGATGTCTAACTGGGAGTCCATGACAGAAAAACTGGTTCTTTCAAGGCAATTTGGTATTTCAGTAGTTTTCTCAGTAAGCTGCATTTTCCTCGGGTCTGACAGTGCATTGTGTAATCGATCTGTTTCTCCTGCTACATTCTTATTATTAATGCATGCTTTTTGGTCTGTTAGCTTCTCCTTGGTACCAGTTTCTGAAGGACTGGCAGACTTTGTGCCCATGAAGGCTTTCTGTGCTGAATTTGCTAAAAGCTCCCTCTTTCCTTGTTTATTAGCAATTTCAGCTGCCATCTGCTGTTGTAGTATTCTATCTGTCTGAGTATCCAACTGGAAGCTTTCTTCAAATTCTCGGAAGACAAAACACAGATCAGGGGAATAATAGTTTTCCTTGTTTTCAGAATTCTTCAGAGAAGTATCAGTCTTATTATCCATTTCACCTGCATCTGTAACTTGTATTGTCTCCTTGGATTTTGCAATGGTAATTCCAACCCCCTTTTTAAGTCTAGTAGTGGATTTCAAGAACGGCTTTGTTTTCTGCCCACTGCTTTTCATTTTTCCCTTGCTATCCACCCTCTGTTCTACTGAAATAACTGTCATAATTTTTGCATCTTTATTCAGATTCAGGCGCTTACTTGCCCTAGAGTATCCATCAGCATTACTTGCTTCTTCTATCTCAATCCCATCTACTAGGGTCTTCTCTTCAAGTCTGGCATTTGATGAATTAGCACCTAAACATCTCTTATTTTTAAGTTTAACACATGAAGCATTCCTCCGTTGGGGACTAATGTTGCCAGATAGAGTTATGTTGTGGGGACTGATGTTGTTGCCAGATAGAGTTATGTTGTGGTTCTCTTATTTTTAAGTTTAACACTTGAGGCATTCCTCCGTTGGGGACTAATGTTGTTGCCAGATAGAGTTATGTTGTGGCCTTTTCTGAACACTTCTTCTTCTTCTACAGCACTCCCTGTGGTCACAAAAGACTCAGCTGACAAGGCAGAGGCATTGGGATCCCATTGTATGCCCAAAATAGCCAAATCCTGCTTTAAGAGGGTTTTCGCTTCGTCCACAACAAGACGGGCTGCTTCGGTCTCACTTAAACCCTTCAGTCCAGACATCCAAATACAGCGGGTATTGAGCCGTTCCTCAGCAGCCTCTTCATCTTCATCCACTGCCTTGCGAGTACTAAAGCAAAGAACACAAGCAAATAGTATAATGAGCACACACGCTTTAAATTTCAAGATTTTCAAATGGTAAACAACTGCTACTATACCCTTCCTAACTTAAACTAGCACACAACACACACCCTTAACATTTGCTGAAGTTTGATACTTGCATCCACACCGGAAGGGAAGGGAAGGAAAGGTGATGAAGGGGGGGGGAAGAGAAGGTAGCAGCTTAATTTAGTTCAGATGCTGTGTGCCTTCAGAAATCAGCTCCCCTGAGCTTGAGGCTTCGGAGAAAGCTAGGTAATAAGAGAGACATACAACCCAAAGTGAAGAAAGAATAGAAACAACAGAACAAAGCACAGAACGAAAACCTTCTGTTTTCCCACACAGGGGTTCTGCAAGCCACTGCTCTTCTGAGGAGATGCCAAAAAA